TATTCACTTATTCAATATTATCTAGAGTTGATTTGCAATTGTCTAAGAATTAAATTATTTGGACACTAATTCTAATGGCACAAATGGCAATGGTCCTTAACTTAAAATTAAATTCGAGGAAGTTTGATTTCATTTGTTTTTGAAAGATTACGAAACTAGAGGAGTTACCATATATAATTTTTTAAGGTCACCTTATAATTTTTAAGGGTGCGTTTGGATGGTAGGATTACACTGGATCAGAGATCTAAACAAATATTATTTACCTATCCAACCCAAAATCACATGTCATTGGACCGATAAGAATTTAATGGTTATATTCTATCATTTTGAGTGTTTGGATAACACATAAGAACTTCTATGGGACCCGTGGAGAAGAGTGATGGAATATGGTATCACTGACTGTTTTGCCTCTAATCTAGCAAATCAAATACCATGTTTGGTTTATAAGTTAGCCTTTACAAGGTAATTTGGTCATTTATATTAATTATCCTATTTGGCAAAAAAAATCTCAAGCCATCTTGGGTTTTATTTAACCCATGTAGATAGGTTAAAGTTGATTTTTCAAACCGAATTAAAATAAAATTCACATAAGATTTTGATGCATTTTTTACTTACCAAAAAATGGGATATATGAGCATACATACTCTTTTATCCTATTTTACTAAAGTTATCCCTCTTTAACATGTGATCCAAATATATCCTTAGAGTATAAGGTACAAATCTAAAAGGTACAATCGATCTTGCATTTAAGTAACAATTTTTAAAGATCAAATTATTATCTTTGAATGATAGTTACATTTTGTAAATGAGAAATTATAACTTGTTGAGGTAATTTATGATCAATCATGAAATATAGTGATCGACAATAAATTACTCCAAACAATCATAACTTTACCTTTAAAAGATATAACATGACTTTTGAAAATGGTAAAAAAAAAATGGTACTCGTACCGATATTTATAACTTTTGTGAGTATTTTTATTATTATTGTGGGTGTTTTAACTATCACTATTGTCGTAACTGTTTTTATCACTTTTGTAGTACTTGTGATCGATCCTAAAAATATAAAAATAGTTAAAAAAAAATAAAATCCACAACACAGTGATAAAAATATCCATAAAAATGATAAATTTTTTTGGTTATAAAATGACTAGCATAAATTATAAAACAGTAAAATTTGAAGGTCTGGTATAAAAAAAAATATATGTCCCGTAGTCAAGTGTTTGTGCGTCTTTGCATAACCGTGGTGATGTGATCGTTAGAGCCAATGAGTTTGAGTAAACTGCTTCAACGTTCTTGTTCAAAAAAAAAACTGCTTCAAGGAATGAGGACTGAGGAGGGAGGTACTTACGAGGTCTCTTCAAACCCACCTGTTATGTTCTGTGGTAAGGACGAAGAAAATTGTTACGGGATATCAGACTAGGCTTGGGCTGCAACGATTCAAAGATTCAACAACTGAACGAAGCAGCACGAAACTTTTCAAACCCAACCATGCACGTTCAACTACTTTTCTTTACATTTTTATGCTCACTTTGGTTGGTGGGTACTATATCCTGCCTGGAAATAGAATCACCATCATTAAAAGAATATTCATTCTAATATTTAGTTTGCAATAAATAAAAGTTATTTTTATTATCATGAAATGTGTAACCTTATATGAATATAATTAGTTATTCCTTAATATGATGTGATGTTAATCATTTTCAACCCTGATCCCGCCACTCGGGTATCGGGTCTGGGTTTAGAGGCTTGGATCCTAGAGTTTAGTTTGGGTCCCGAGGCCGAGGTCTATGATCCCTGGTCCCAAGGTCAGGTGGGTCTTAATTCCAGTATGACTCCTGAGTCTTGGGGCTAGGTCTTTGATGTTCATTTTTTTTAAATGGCTATAATATATTTTTTCTTTCTCTTTTTTTAATTAAGTATTCACAACTCTCTATTTAACTGTCTCTACTCAGAATTACGATCCTATCTCGGTGGATGAGTCACCCCACGTGACGTAGATGTGTCTTTACCATTAAAACATCAATATTATCTTTCATTTCTTTCTAAATAACAATTCGACTCCCTTTTAGCCCTATTCCTTGGTTTATTTTTCTCTTCACATGCATTGATTACCATGTGTAGTTGAATAGGAAGTCTAACTTTTTTTTTTCTTTTGGTCAGAATAGGCTAACTGTTCAAGTCATTTAAGACTCACATGCACTTGCAAACGCATGGAATCATTAATGATGAAACTACTCACAATATTTCCCATGAAATCGCTAACAACAGTAATGCTATGATGACCAAGAATGAAAGTTATGGCTTGACTTCTAGTGATCGGAGATAGTCTTGTTGGATTTGTAGTTAAACTAGCCACTCTTAATACACAATACAACATAAAAATGACCATTCAAAAAATTAATATTACTATATCAAATAATAGTTTTTATTTCTTTTTTTAAAAAAATAAAATCAATTTCTTCCCATTATTGTTTTAGAAAAAATCGACATAATTTTTTTAAAATACATAACCTCAAAAAAAATATCAACATGTGTATAATATTATCTATAAACAATGTTTGAAATAAAAATTATATTCAGCCAAAAACTAATTATGTGTGTAAATATGATTGAGATCAATGAGACTTAATTTTTGATCTAAAAAGAACATTAGCAACAAAATTACGAATAAAAGAACACTTCCTGGGGTCAAATTATAAATATAGAAAACACAATGGAGGACAAGAACAAATTTGCATGAAGGATGAAATGAGTAGCCGTGCATGTGTGCCTGCATGTGACATGTATTTATATTTTTTTTTTGTTCAACAGTCGGGTGTCATGATCAGTTTACGCGCATCTCGACTAAAGATGCCTCTTGTCCGATCAAAGGTAGGTCATCCACGTTGGAACTAGAGTATTTGTGAGAGATAAAACCTTCATAGGCCTAATCCCAAGAGGTTGCTAAGATTCGAACTAGAATGTCTTGGTTTACAACTCATCTCTATTGTCACTTAAACTTACCCCTTGAATATCTATACAATAAAGTACAATACAATTCAAATTTCAAAACATAAATAAAATGACTTTTGTTTTTTGCGGTTGAGATCTTTTTAAATTTTATTCTAAAGTTAATCCGACGGCTTATATTAACATCTCAAATTTAATAAGGAAAATAGGCATCTAAGGGTACTTGGGTGACTTTTTAAAAGTACTTCTAGAACTTATAACTATTTATGAATACTTTAAAAAAAAAAATTATTTGAAACCGTTCCACCACTACCACCCCCACCGCCCCACCACTGCCGTCGCCGCCCCATCACCAACCACCATTTCTGCCACAACAACCACCACCTCCACTGCTACCGTTGCCACCACTATCGCCACCCCACCATCACCACTGCTACCACCTTATCACCACCTCCGTCGTTGCCCCACCACCATTGTCACCCATCACCGATTGTTATTACTGTTGTCCACTGCCACCATTCACCATAATTTTATTCTTATTATTATATTTATTACAATTATCACCGTCGCCCACCGTCAATACCCACCATTATCATTGTTGTTCACCACCACCCATTGTCGCCCACTATCATAACCCACCACCATCTATCGCCACCCATCATCGTCGTCAGTCACTATCACTCACCCCTCATCAAACTTACCACCACTAATCGTCATCGTCCACCACTGTCACTCACCCCCATCACACTTACCACCACCACCACCACTGCTATTTAGCAAAACCCATCACACTGTCGTCCAGAAGCACCCATCGTTGTCCACCACCGCCACTATTACTGCCCATTACTACCACTGTCAACCACCGTCACCATCGCCCATAACTACCACCGTCATCACCCATGACTGTCACTATCACCATCGTCACCAAAAATCCACCACCAATATCACCATTGTCACCCATGACTGCCACCATTACCACGATCGTCGCCACCCACCACAACCATCACCGTTTTCCACCACCACTATCACCGTTTTTCCCCCACTACAACTGGTGTTAAATTTTTTTGTTTGTTCTATGTTTGTAATTTGATTTTTGGGTATGAATATAAATATATTTATTGTTGATCATTTTTTTATTATTTTATACCTTCAGGCACAAACAATAATTAGTTTATTTATATACTAAACCGTATAAGCTACTTATGTCTCGGTATTAAACATGATTTTCTATGATATTGAAAAGTGGCGTAACAAAAATTTCAATTCGAAGTTTTTTATTAGTGATCGTAAATTTTTAGATCTCATTTGAATTATAATTTTAATTTCATTGAATCATAACATTCTCTCATTAAAACATAACTGGAAGTGAGATATTGAGAAAATTTCATGGACATCCATGACTAGTCGAAGCTCTTTCTTGTCGGCTTCTAAGTTCGGTACTGTCTCCCTTTACCAAATAGAGACCGAAAGAAACTTTTATCGTCTGAATTATTTCGGTATAATACCGCTTCCATAGATTTTTCCTAAATATATTGAACAACCAAACCCTTGCAGAACGAAACAGCCTGAGACTTTTAAAACTCACTTTTCAGAGAGAGTGTTCTCCAAGTCCATTCAGTCTACATTCATTTATGTGTATCTATTTAGAAGCTAGGCTAGCACTTAAAAGAATATTTGTCTCTTTTCGTTCTAAGGTTAACATGTCGAAATTTATCATTTATTTATAGGTGATATTAGTTTTAGATATGGTTATTGTAATAAAAAATTATTATTTTTTGGTATTATAATTTTATTTATCGTTCAATAAAAATCTAATTTGCGTAATTTTTTAGTAGTTGCAAATTATTCAAACTAAACTCAGCAACTAGGGATAAATTTCACTACAAAAAAATTAGACTAATTTTTTCATCTAAAACACGTATCGAAATGTGTCCGTGTCCGGGAGTGTGACATGTTGGTGCTTCATAGTTAGTCATCCCTATAAATAAGCTACCGGTATGATAAAGGCCCTTCATTCCTCCATCCAACCATTGCTCTCCTAGCTAGCCATGAAAACCCCAGTTGAAAAGCCACCCTCTGACCAGTTTGTTCCTTTCCTTTCCAACCGTTTCTCATATTCCTCACCATTCTTTTATGGATTCCAACCTCCCACAGTGAGGCTTTTGCTGCTTCTGCAAATTATGCACAAGTAGCAGAAGGCAAAGAAGATGCTGCTCTTCTAACATGGAAAGCCACCCTTGACAACCAAAGCCAATCACTCCTTTCATCATGGGGTGGACATAGCCCATGCAATTGGGATGGGATTGGCTGCAATAAGGCTGGAAGGATCACCCATATAGACCTAAAAGGTTATGGTTTAAAAGGTAAGCTTGATCGGGATCTTAATTTCTCATACTTGCCTTATCTCAGCTCTATTGACCTGTATAACAACTCACTCTATGGGACCATCCCCTCAAACATTGGTATCCTTTCTAACCTCAACTATCTTGACTTATCTATTAATCGCCTTTCGGGCATGATTCCCTTTGAAATAGGCTTATTGACGAATCTTCGAGTCTTGTACATTGTCAATAATCTTATCAGTGGCTCCATCCCCCGAGAAATTGGAATGCTAAGGTCTCTCAACAAGCTTTCAATATCAAATAACAATCTCACAGAATCGATAGCTCAAGAAGTTGGAATGTTGAGATCTGTCACTAACCTCTCACTATATGGCAACCAACTCATGGGTTCAATCCCTACTTCTATAGGGAACTAGGGGAACCTAACTTTTCTATACCTTCATGAAAATAATCTCACAAGATGCATTCCTTCGACCATTGGAAACTTGGCAAACCTCAAGATGTTGTGGCTACAAGAAAATCTATTATTTGGTTCCATTCCTCCTGAATTAGGAAAGTTAAAGTCCCTTATTGATCTTAGGTTGCACAATAACAAACTCATTGGCCCAATTCCTCCGGAACTGAATAATCTTACGCATTTGAAAAGGGTTAATTTAGCTGATAACAATCTCACTGGTCATTTGCCAGATAATATATGCCTTGGTGGATTACTTACTCGGTTGACTGTACAGTATAATAATTTGATTGGTAACGTCCCAAAAAGCTTGAAAAATTGCACCACCTTATACAGAGTTAGGCTCGAAAGAAACCAAATTTCTAGAAATATATCGGAAGATTTTGGCATATATCCAAACTTGGATTATGTTGATCTGAGTTACAATAAGTTTTATGGTGCACTGTCTCAAAATTGGGGGCTCTGCCATAATCTAACTTGGTTGAAGATTTCCAACAATAACATTTCTGGAAGGATACCATCAGAGCTTGGTGAGGCAGCTCAACTTGGTGAACTTGATCTATCTTCAAATCAATTGAATGGGGAGATTCCAAAAAAATTGGGGAAGTTGGGCTCATTAATCAACCTTATTTTGAATCATAATATGGTTTCAGGTAATATTCCCTCAGAACTTGGCAAGTTGCATGATCTTGCACATCTTAACTTAGCAGCAAATAATCTTAGTGGCTCAATTCCAGATCAAGTAGGAGAACAGGTGAAATTATTGAACCTAAATTTGAGCAACAATTTATTTGGCGGGAGTGTTCCTTCTCCAATAGGAAATCTACACTCTCTTGAAAATCTTGATCTCAGTCAAAATATGTTGACAGGGAAGGTACCGTGGGAACTTGGGAAATTGCGAAGGTTAGAAACATTGAATCTCTCCCATAATGAGTTCTCCGGTTCCATCCCTTCCACCTTTGACCAAAGCTTAGGTTTGAGATCTGTTGACATATCCTACAATCAATTGGAGGGTCCTCTTCCCCTCATCAAAGCCTTTCAGGGGGCTCCATTTGAGGTATTAAGGGATAACAAAGGTTTGTGTGGCAATGCCACTAGTTTAATGCCTTGCCTCCCTATTAAGAGCAGTAGGGAAAAAAGATTTTTGGTTCTAATCCTACTTCCTGTTATAGGAGGTCTGTTTCTTTTATTCCTTGTCATTGGCATTTTTTGGGCAACTCGGGGAAAAAAGAAGAGCATAAAAAATGAGCCCAGAGAATCAAATGAAAGTTTGTTTTCCATATGGAGCTTTGATGGAAAGATAGTATATGAAAACATCATTGAAGCCACAGAGAACTTCAGCCCCAAACATTGCATTGGGGTGGGAGGATATGGAATTGTTTATAAAGCCGAGTTACCTAGTGGACAGGTTGTTGCTGTAAAGAAACTTGATGCATCAGAAGACGATGAGAGAGAGAAACTGAAAGGTTTTGCAAATGAAATTTGTGCATTGACAGAAATCAGACATCGGAATATTGTGAAGCTTTATGGGTTTTGTGTACATACACGACACTCATTTTTGGTTTATGAGTTCTTAGAAGGGGGAAGTTTGGAGAAATTATTGAGCAATCATGAACAAACAGTTAATTTTATATGGATTAAGAGGATGAATGTTATTAAAGGGGTGGCAAATGCACTATCTTATATGCACCATGATTGTTCACCGCCTATGATTCATCGTGACATATCAAGCAAGAATGTTTTGTTAGATTCTGAATATGAGGCTCACATCTCGGATTTTGGCACCGCAAGAGTTTTATGGCCTGATTCATCTAATTGGACTTCATTTGTTGGTACTTTTGGGTATGCAGCTCCAGGTATGTCTGTATTCACGAAACAAGTCACCATGAATTAAGTGAAGCAAATGTAATTTTTTCTGCTCTCTATTTACCTTATTCTTGTTGCAGAACTTGCTTACACCATGGAAGTGAATGAGAAGTGCGATGTTTATAGCTTCGGGGTTCTATCAATGGAAGTAATTATAGGGAGGCATCCTGGTGAGCTCATCTCATCCCTATTGCCATCATGGTCATCAACATCAGCATTAACTGCCCATGCTACGCTATTGATGGAATTGTTGGACCAATGCATCGCGCCTCCCAGGAAGCAAGTGGCTAAGGAAGTGGTCTCTCTTGTGAAGCTAGCATTTGCATGTTTACATCCTAGTCCACAGTTTAGGCCAACCATGCAACAAGTTTCAGTGATGTTATCGAAACAGAGGTCAACTTTGCAAAATTCATTCGAGATGATTACATTAGTGCAGCTGCTAGATATGTTGGAGTTTTAGAATTCTTGGTGACCAAGTCATTAAGGCTTATCACATGTTATATCGTGTTTGTTGCATTTTGTTAATAATGTCCTAGTTAATAGGGTTTAGATTAGGTTTGAATTATTCTTCAACAACTTCACCACATTATTAGGTTATGTAAACGTGGGTGTTATTTGTTCTTCATTCCTGTTTTGTAAGGCTAATATAAAGCCACAGTTTCATTCATTCAATAATAGAGCTTAAGACCTCAAACTTTTGTGTGATCAGTGTTTACATTTCCAACAAAGTGGTATCAGAGCCTCCTTAAAAAGGTTCTGATCGTAGATAGGAACAGCAGTCTCCTAACAAAGGTGAGCACGAGTGAAAGAGGGATGACAACAGAAGGAGACAGCTTCGTTCAGCCTGCAATACCTAAGTTCGATGGTCACTACGACCATTGGGCTATGTTAATGGAGAATTTTCTCCTATCAAAGGAGTATTGGCCCTTGGTGGAAATGGGAATTCTTACAATAGAAGATGGAGCTGAGCCAACAAAGGCACAAAAGAAAACAATTGAAGATCAACGACTGAAAGACTTAAAGGTAAAGAATTACCTTTCCAAGCCATCGACCGAGCCATCATGGAAACAATCCTTGATAAGGAGAGTTCCAAGAGCATATGGGACTCAATGAAACAAAAGCATCAGGGGACAACAAGAGTGAAGCGGGCTCAGTTGCAAGCATTGAGAAGAGAATTTGAAATTCTTTAGATGAGGGAAGGAGAAAAAGTGGACGAGTACTTTGCTCGGACACTAACAATTGCAAACAGGATGAAAGCTCATGGCGAGAAGATGGGGCAGGTTGTGATAATTGAGAAGATCTTGAGATCAATGACCTCAAGATTTGATTACGTTGTATGCTCGGTGGAGGAGTCCCATGACTTGGACAAGTTAACAATTGATGAATTACAAAGCAGCTTGTTAGTTCATGAGCAGAGAATGAACGGTCATAGTGGAGAAGATGAGAAGGCTTTGAAGATTTCTTATGAAGAAAGGTTTGGAGGAAGAGGAAGAGGTTGAGGGTCAATTCGAGGTCGAGGAAGAGGCAAAGACAGGTAGTCATTCAACAAGGAAACTGTAGAGTGCTACAAGTGTCAAAAGCTAGGACACTTTCAATATGAATGTCCTAGTTGGGAAAAAGGTGCAAATTACGCTGAGCTTGATGACACACAGGAGATGCTGTTAATGTCCTACGAAGAGCTTCACAATTCCAAAATAGAGGAAGTATGGTTCCTCGACTCCGACTGCAGTAACCACATGTGTGGTAACAAACAATGGTTTTTGAACCTAGATGAGACTTTCAGACAAGTTGTGAAGCTTGGCAACAACTCGAAGATGGCAGTGATGGGGAGAGGATGCATCAAATTACAAGTCAATGGAGTTACTCAGGTGATTAGTTCAGTATTTTATATTCCTGAGTTAAAGAATAACTTGCTTTGTATCGGTCAATTACAAGAGAAGAACTTGGCCATTCTAATTCAGCATGGAGAGTGCAAAATTTACCATCTTGAAAAGGGGTTGATCATGCAGACTAAAATGTCTGCTAATAGAATGTTCGTGTTGCTTGCTTCTATGCAAACTCCAGCCATAGCTCCAGCATGTTTTCAGACTACATCTGAGGACAAAACTCATCTATGGCACCGAAGATTTGGACATCTAAGTTTCAAAAGTTTGAGAACCTTGTCCTACAAGAAGTTGGTTAAGGGTTTGCCTTCTCTCAAGGCTTCTTCGAAACTAAGTACTACTTGTGTGGTAGGCAAACAGCACCGGGACTCCATCCCAAAGACGAGCTTGTGGAGAGCTTCTTAGAGACTTCAACTCGTACATGCTGACATTTGCGGCCCCATCACACCACAGTCCAATAGCCACAAGAGGTACCTGATCACCTTTATAGATGATTATAGCAGAAAAGTATGGAGTTATTTTTTAAATGCCAAGTCCAAAGCTTTTGTTACATTTAAGATTTTCAAGAATCTGGTAGAGAAAGAAACTGGGAACTGTATATGTTGTTTTCGTACTGATAGAGGTGGGGAGTTCACCTCACTAGAATTTAACAAGTTTTGCAGTTCTAATGGAATTAGTAGGACACTCACTGCAGCCTACACCCTATAACAAAATGGGGTTGCAAAGAGGAAAAATTGGACCATTATGAACATGGTACGTTGCATGTTGTCGGAGAAACAGGTTCCAAAAGAATTCTGGCCCGAAGCTGTCAACTAGACAGTATATGTACTCAATCAGTGTCCTACATTGGCAGTGAAGGACATGACTCCTGAGGAAGCATGGTGTCGGTTCAACTCTTCTGTTGATAACTTTAGGGTGTTCAGGTGCATTGGTCATGTGCATATACCTGACAACAAAAGGCAAAAGCTTGATGACAAAAGTTTCAGGTGTGTTTTCTTAGGCTTAAGTGCATAATCAAAAGCTTATAGATTATATGATCCTGTGTCAAAAAAGATTGTGATAAGCAGGGATGTGGTGTTTGAGGAAGATGAGAAGTGGAATTGGGATGAAACTATTGAAGGAACAAAATGTGATGTTCTTGAATGGGGAGATAAAGATGAGATAGAAGGAAGTGAGCAAGTCGATGATAATGAAGAAGAAGAACAGGTCGAAGATGTGGCTGTTGTTTCTAGTTCATCATCAAATGAATCAGTTGAAGATCATTCACCAAGTCCTGTTCAAGGGAGGATAAGAAGAGAACCAGTTTGGATGGAGGATTACGTAAGTGGTGAGGGTTTGTCTGAGGAGGAGGAAGGAAATTTTATAATGTTTACTGTAGCTAGTGATCCTGTGTCCTTTGAAGAAGCTATCAAGAACTCAAAATGGAGAGAAGCAATGGACTTAGAAGTTCAATCCATTGAGAAAAATGGAACTTGGGAGTTAACTACATTACCAGATGGAGCTAAGAAGATAGGAGTCAAATAGATATTCAAGACCAAGTTGAACGAGAATGGGGAGGTTGATAAATTTAAAGCTAGGCTTGTGGCCAAGGGATACACTCAACAATTTGGAATAGATTACACCGAGGTATTTGCTCCTGTAACTCGTGGGGATACCATCAGAATGATTTTAGCCCTTGCAACTCACAAAGGGTGAGTGTGTACTAGCTTGATGTAAAGAGTGCTTTTCTGCACGGTGAATTGAATGAGGCAGTGTTCATTGAGCAACCTAGGAGTTATGAGAAAAAGGGTGTAGAAGATAAAGTATATAAGTTAAAGAAGGCTCTTTACGGACTCAAACAAGCTCCTCGAGCTTGGTATAGCAAAATTGAGTCCTACTTTGTCAAGGAAGGGTTTGAAAGGTGTCCTTGTGAGCACACTTTATTTATAAAGTCTGAAGAAGGAGGAAATTTTCTTGTGGTTAGTCTGTATGTGGATGATCTCATTTTTACGGGAAATAATGAGCCTATGTTTGAAAGATTCAAGGACTCTATGAAGCAGGAGTTTGATAGGTCTGATCTTGGGAAAATGAAGTATTTTCTTGGTATAGAAGTGGTGCAAAGTTCTGAAGGAATTTTCATAAGCCAGAAAAAATATGCTAAAGAAGTACTTGAGAGGTTTGACATGGAGCATTGTAATCCTGTGAAGAATCCAATTGTCCCAGGGTTCAAACTTGTGAAGGATGAAGGAAGACTTGGTGTTGATGCTACTACTTATAAGCAAATGGTGGGCAGTCTCATGTATTTGACTGCCACCAGACCTAACTTGATGTATGTGGTGAGTTTAATTAGCCGGTTCATGGAAAGGCCTACTGATTTGCACTAACAAGTTGTGAAAAGGATTCTTAGGTACTTAAAAGGCACCATTGAGATGGGGATTCTTTACAAGAGAGGAGGAGAAGAAAGTTTGTTGGCCTACTCCGATAGCGACTATACAGGGGACATTGAAGATCGAAAGAGTACGTCGGGCTATGTGTTTCTGTTAAGCTCAGGTGTTGTAGCTTGGTCCTCGAAGAAACAACCAGTTGTAACACTCTCCACCACTGAAGCAGAGTTCATAGCTGCTACTTCCTGTGCATGCCAAGGTGTGTGGATGCAAAGAATTCTTGAAAAGCTTGGACACAAACAAAGTAAGTGTACTACAGTCTTTTGGGATAATAGTTCGGCTATTAAACTTTTGAAGAATCCTGTTTTGCATGGAAAAAGTAAACACATTGATATTAGATTTCACTTTCTTCGTGATTTAACAAGAGATGGGGTTGTTGAGTTAGTGCATTGTGGTTCAAAATATCAGATTGCTGATATTATGACTAAGCCATTGAAATTGGAGGTGTTCTTAAGGTTGAAGGAACAACTCGGCATTCGCGAGGCACCTGAAGTAAATTGACTGCAATCTGCAGGTCAGTTTAAGGGAGGATTTGTTGGAGTTTTAGGATTCTTGGTGACTAAGTCAATAAGGCTTATCACATGTTATATAGTGTTTGTTGCATTCTGTTAATAATGCCTAGTTAATAGGGTTTAGATTAGGTTTGAATTATTCTTCAACAACTTCACCACGTTATTAGGTTATGTAAACGTGGGTGTTATTTGTTCTTCATTCCTGTTTTGTAAGGCTAATATAAAGCCACAGTTTCATTCATTCAATAACAGAGCTTAAGACCTCAAACTTTTGTGTGATCAGTGTTTACATTTCTAACAAGATATCGAATCTTCGACATTCTAAACATATGTAACCAAGTCTTATTTAAAGTGGACAAGACGACCTACCACTTTCTTCAGCAAGCAAACCCCTTAGTTGACGGAAAGTTAGGAATCTATTTTTTCTACTTCTTTTTATGTGCAATTACGTCAAATTTTTTTTTTTTTTGGGGTAAATTGTTGTCAATTATAGTATAACTAGTAGTCCGTCTATGGGATGCACGGGATCATAATTTGTATTTTTTAATTTTATTATTTGAGAAGTTAAATAAAATAATTATATAAAATGATTGGGTGATAAAAAGTGTTTTTTTAGCATCTAATTGAAATGAGCATTATGAATTAAAAAATTCTAAATTCTATAAACCAAAAAAAAAAAAAAAAAAGTGGAATGGAAGACTTCTCATGTCACTTTCCCCCTAATTTGATTGTTATATATCTATAATAATAAGAATGAACTAAATTTGAATTTTTTTTCACTTCAAAATTTTCTAACTTAATCCAAATGT